TTTCTTTTGAACTTTATTCACCACTGTCCACTCATTTCATTACAAATTATAACCCATTTGTTGACATAAGCATGTCTTAAACTTGCCAGTCAAGTTTAAATTCCATCATTTCAGGGGCCATTTTTGATAGCCTTCCGGATCGCGTGAGAGATAGCATCCATGACAATTTCGTAATGACCTTATAGCATTGTTCCACCAAGTATTCATTCTCCAGCAATCACAGCATGATTCAAGTTGTTTTCGAAAAAAAATCTGCCTAAAGGTTTTTCAAATTGTCACAGTCGGCGTGGCTCAAGTCCGCGCAAGCCCGCGTTCGCCCTTAAGCAGATACGGTAGATATCCTCTTTTCCTACAGCCTTTCTCAACCCGAGTAGGCGGAACATTCCAAGCGGAGCAGACATTCCAAGCATTCCGCACTGCCACTGACTCAGCGAGATAGATCAGAATCAAGAGACGCAGATCAAAGCGGCGCGAATTGCTGCGAAGCGGAATCCCGCCAGTCTAATTTCTAAACTAAGTCGAAACTTACTACAGGGTGTCCGTAAAGTATGTATGCACTCTTTGATCGTTAATATCTCCGTTCCCAGGGGGTCTTTTGCCGAGCTCTAGGCGCCATACTGTAGAGCTGGCTTCAAAACTTTACAGTATGAAGCGAATCGGCGGTCTCCTCTCATTACTTAGGATTACGGTAGGAACTTCAAAGAGGGTTTTGAGTCATGAAAGGCCATATTTTGCCTCAGAAAGGAAACAAAACAGCCTGAAAACTTTTACACTAGGCTAACTAGAGTTGCTGATTCTAATTGTGAAGTTCCCAACTTATTATGATGCTTCATTGAAGAGTTATGCCAGGTAAGAGGTAGCGGCCATTTTTTCAGTGTTCCTAAAAAGTGCGTTTACACCGTTTAGAAAGCTTCGCAATCTTGTGAATAGTTGAGTATTAAACTCAGCGTCCATAAAAACCCTATTACACAAGTTTTCACATTTTTTTTGAAAAATTTTGAAACGACAGCTTTTTCCACATTGACACCATATGTTTCAAGTTTCTACCGTAGTCCTACAGTAACAGTGAGTGATCGCTGATTCACTCTATACTGTAAATCTAAGTTGAAGCCAGCTCTACAGTATGGTGCTTAAAGCTCAGCAAAAGACCCCCTGGGAACGGAGATATTAACGATCAAACAGTGCATACATACTTTACGGGCACCCTGTATATTTGTATCCTTGGGCGTCGATGGCTGACGAGCTTGAAAAAATGGGGTGTATGTCAAGAATTGTGATTTTTATTGCCACGAACATTGAATGCAGATAATCTGTGTCTTATGATGCCCCTAGATGTATTTAAAACTTGTAAGGAGATATCCAGATAGCCACATGGGTTGGAGTCTATTCATCACACAATAAATGTTGAAGGTCAAAAACATTTGAAAGTGCAACTGATATCAAATTCGTAAACAATTCACTATTTTCTCAATCATATTTTATAAAACTCAGCAAATGACTACTTCAAGTAGCTAGTAAGCCGAAGCAGGTATTTTCTGAATGCACGCATACCACTGAGGCTCTTGTTATGATAACCTACAAAGAACCGCGCATGTTCACCATTTCTGAGGAAAATGTCAAAGACAAGCTCGCAAACACGGCGAATGGTCCAGGCAAAGCGGCTTGCGAGGAAGCGAGTCACGACACTCAGGTTGAAAATTCCTCCAAACAGCTGCACAGGATTAGAAAAAAATAAATTAGCTTTACTATTGATTCTTATGTGCTCTCAGCACTTCTAAAATCACGCCTGCGGTGTTCAAAAGCTTTTGATAATACACTGTATACTTTGCAAGGATCACCACCGATCATGTCGTGCACTTTTATAGTGGATCTGCACATGTCGCCATTATTACTACTTTTCATTTTCGCAGAACAAAGGTATTTATTATATGCGATATACAACCGGCACAAAAGGTGAGAATTTGAAAGAGATTACATTCTTAAAAGATTTTAATAGCCTAGTATTAGTCAAGCCTTGGCAACTAGATTCGTTCAGCAATACAGGATTGTGTTATGGAGCGCTTCTGTAGGCGAATTCACTTGCAAAACTATTCAACTGTTGATCTACAATAACTGGAGGAGCTGCTGTAAATAAACTCATGTTTTCGTTACTTACAACAATTATTTGGGGAAAGAAGTATCGATGCCTTTTCTAGGATCCAACAAAGGCGAATGCCCGAACCGCCAGAACGCCATATAGCATTCGTTAACTCGTTAACAATTGATATAAGTTTCAAGAAAACCGTTCCAGTTTTGAATGAACACCTAGATTCATAAACAATCGAGTTGCATTATCATCTGGAGAAGTGCTATTGAGATTTGACATGTTGCATGCTTCACATTTTGCTTTGATACATGCAGAAAACGTTCAAATAATTTATACATGACGCATATGACCTATCATGATGCCTATGAACAAGAAATGTAAACCAAAATGACTAGAAAGAAAAGTATAGACTTATGACAAGAGCGAGGGTGAGAATGGCAAGTATGTACAAAAAGATATGTGTGGAGATGGGCGAAAGTATTAGGTTAAACCAAAAGTTTGTTCGCACCATTTCCAAAAACCATAGCTTATTTCCGTCACGACGATTTTGCGCAAATCAAATTCTTTCGGAAATCGTAAAGCATGTAGTTCCCAAAAGTCTTCTGGGGACTTTCCAGCATGCTCAGGATGCAGAGATAAAAGTGAAAAAACGTGATCATCCGAAATTCGGATTTTTTGAGCAAGCCTTCTAAAAATGAAAAAAACTGTGCGATAAAATCCAGAACAGCCATCGTCCTGAGTTTTCTTATATTTTATTACTAACTGGGTCAAGTTTGTGCTGATTGAGCTCTTCTTTTAAAAGTTATGATTTTTCAAAGAAAAATGCCAAAAAATCAACTTCCTAAAAATTCTTAAGAAATTGATTTTTCGGCAATTTTCTTCAAAAAATCATAACTTTTGAAAGAAGAACTCGATTAGTACAAACTTGACTCAGTTGGCGATAAATTATAAGAAAACTTAAGATGATGGTTGTTCTGAATTTTGTCGCACAGTTCCTAGACTTTTAGAAGGCTTGCTTAAAAATTCCAAATTTTTGATGATCTCGTTCTTTCATATTTATCTCTGCAACCTGAGCATGTTGGAAAGTCCCCAGCATAGGTGCGATAGGGGGAGCAGGGTCCTCTCCACTCAGACAATCGCCGGGGGCAGGCGGGCACCGGAAAAATAGACTGCTGATCTCTCGCACCCCGCTCGCGGATTTTTTGGAAAGCAATCAGGACTTTTCGGAAGACCGCTTGCTGAGTTCTCGATTCCTCAGAGATTCAGCAATATATCTGCAAAAGATAAGAGCGAAAAAAATTCAACAGGCGGTCTCTCAAAAATCCGCTGACTCAGCAAGCGGTCTTCCGAAAAGTCCTGATTGCTTTGCAAAAAATCCGCGAGCGGGGTGCGAGAAATCAGCAATTTATTTTTCCGGTGCCCGCCTGCCCCCAGCGATTGTCTGAGCAGGTGAAGGGGGTTTTGGCTATTTCCGACCTAGAAAAGTGAAGGGGGTAACTGAGTCTTAAGATGAATTCTGACGCATGCTTGCATGCCTAACGGTAGCGGGAGTGAGAAGAAGGAAAATAAGCTGTATAGAGGTGTACAATGAAGATTTTCTCAATGCTTAGGCCTTCGAAGGTCATCTAACAGAGATTTTTTCGACTCGGGAAAGCTTTGTGTTTCATCAGTCGACATACCATTCGAAAGCTCGAGACATATAGAATCGACGTAGACCGTTTCTTTTTTCCAACTCTCCTGTGAATACACATCTAAGAAATCATATCTAGCTTCAGCATCAACTGATTTTATGCAATCATTTGCGCTCCATTTCTGAGAGAAAGAGAAGAGCTAGAAAAAAAGAGACGGCGTACGTTTACTGGCAAGGTCTTGCTCTGTGCTACTGTTAGAAAATCAGGCACCTTCATTCATTTTTCAGGCAGGAATTTCTTGACAAAAACACATATGTTTTTAGCTAAAATGCCATGTATCTCTGAGTAGAGGGGAGCTAGAGAAAAAGAGACGGTCTACGTCGAATCCTTATTTCGTGAGCTTTCTAATGGTATATAAGCTATTGGGTGAAAAAACTCGTGGTTTCTCAAAATCGAGATGGAGATATTCAATACTAACTTGCACCACCCTGCTCCGGCTTTTTATGTGTAGCCGGAGCGACTTTTTTGGGGTGGTAGAGCTTTATGCACCAAAACTTCGTATACCATTCGATAGCTAAGAACACAAGGAATCGACGCAGACCGTCTCTTTTTTCCTAACTTCTCTGTGAAGCGAGATACGAGCAATTTTACCCACAATATCAGCCAATTCTGGCTAATTATTTTTTCAGACCAAGAAGGTTATTCTTCGAAGTTTATATATGATTCGAAAGCTTGAGAAGCGAGTTATCTGAATCCCCTTTCATTTGTAATTATCCTCTCTAGTGAAAGGAGAGATAGTACGATTTTTGTCAGTAAACATCCATCACTGGCTAGTCCAGATTTTCTACACTTGCTCAACTCTTTCTGTGACAGTGTGTACTCATTGATACAATGTTGATTTCAAAAAGTCAGGCATTCTTTTAATTTTTGATTATGTTTCGTTATCAACGTCACTTTGAGTGCGCTGAAGGTCTCAAGCATGGGTTTTTTTTTTCAACAAAACGCTGTTGCTTCGATACTCTCTTGCAGTCTTGGTGTCTGAGGAGAAGAGCAGCTGGCGTTTCCTTTAGTCTCAACCTCAGGTGAAAGGGGTCAACCGGATGCCGGCCTTAAAGTGAAGGGGGTCAGAGGAATTTCTCCACTTATCGCACCTATGGTCCCCAGGGGACTTTTGAAAACTACATGCTTTACGATTTCCGATAAAGTTTGAATTGCGCAAAATCGTGGTGAAGGAAAGAAGTTATGGTTTTTTGAAAATGGTGCGAACGAACTTTCGGTTCAAACTAATGTATCCAACTTGGTTGTAACAAATTTAGTTGCATTGCTACTACCAAAATAATAAGGGCCAGAGAAAACGGAGCCGACGTCGACTTATTGCAGTCAATTATTGGCGTACCACAGACCTGAAAATTGAGAGAATTGAAAAAAGATGCCTTTGTCAACCTCAATCAGATTAGAAAATCGCCAAATTTATTTGCTAAACTGATGTCAAAGTGAATGGAAGTGTGTTCCTGGAAAAATGACATGCAATGTCATTAGGCATCCTTCTCAGAAAAGGGTTTCAAAGTCGCTTGGTAGAGCTCCTTCTAGAGAGGGTGTTTTTGGTTTGGAAAAACATATTTGAGCTAACTCAAGAGGCTTCTCATAAGACGCAATACCGTAGCCTTTTACTGATTTGCAAGGGTAGGATTGCGAGTTACAAATGTATTTCTTATTGTAGCTGACAGATAACGGTAATTAGTGTACATTTAAAGAAGACTGATCGCGATGAATTTGGGGTTCCATCCGATTCGGAAGATTTCAACTTTGAGATCGGTGTAGTAGTAGAAAACGCTTTTATGTAGTAGACTTAAATCGTTTTTTTTTTCACAAAATGGAAGCATTGTTGTGCATTTTTTAGCAAGTTTTAAAATTTGAGGCCAAACTATTGTATCGTATCGATTGAACATTCCGATGAAAGGGAGACTATTGATCAGCGTTTCTAACCTCTTGATGTTCGCTAAGACTGGTCACCATCATGTTTGAGTATTGCTCAGCCATCTTCTGAACCGTACATCGGTCCGAACATCCAGGAATTTGGAGACGATATGGAGGCTTTGAAGTGTCGTTTCGATAAAAAAGCTGAAACGGAGGCTGCCTGCAAAACGGTAAGTCAGGTGATGTAAGTCAGACCTCAACCAAGAAGTCATTGTTGTCCTTGTAAACTTCCATAATTACAGCTGACGCGTAAGGAATCAGCAAGTCATTTGCAACATTCATTGCATACATCAATGCTGATATGCTGCCATCGTGCTGGAAAATGGCATTTGGATATTTTTGACAGATTACGGTCGTATACTTACTGCAGAATACAACATCATTCTGCTAGGATTCTTCATAGTTCCGTTAGCAACCTTTAAAGCGTCTTTGATCCAGGTGTTTAGCAAGTAGCCTCCTGTCATCTGAACAGTGAAATCTCTCCGTGTTCATGAAACATTCAGTGATTCAAGGTCTTGATGGACATTAAAGAATATTTTGAGGCATGCTAAATCAATGTTAATCTTTGGTCCTGTAACCGACAAGATGTAGACTGAACGAGGCGGAAATAGGTGACGTTGCGTAGTAATCGCAGAGGGCAGGCGGCCATGCGAATTATGGGCAAGCAGGCACTGGAAAGTAATCTGCTGATTTCGCGGACAGCTTGTAGATATTTGAAAGAATTTAAAGGCACCGTCCACCCAGATTTTCGACTTCCACGTTTTTGTTGTTTCAGGGCCTTCTCATGTCCCTGATTCCGATTATGAAGTCGAGAATGGGCGAAAACCCCGACATTCCCCGTTCCGGAGAACCCACAGGCCGGCTTCCCGGAACGGTTATTGGATGAGCGCGCACAAATGGGCGGGCATGGATGGGGGTCCTCGTGCATCTCCGCTATTCCGAAGCGATTTTCTCGCTTCCGAAGCGGCATTTTGCGCCGCGACTTGGGCACTGGATTGATAGGGCCCTACTATCACATGCTGCCAAAAGCTCAACACCCTCAACTTAGGGTGGACGGTGCCTTTAACCAGGTTTTGACGAATTGTCGAAGAACATTTGCGGCTCCTCCATGAATTAGTTGCGGCGCAGTGGCCGCATTCTCACGGACTTTCCGCAAGAATATACAATATTATTGGAGGCCGCATGGTCCTTGTGAAGGACCGCACAGCCCGTAGGTACCTTTCGTTAAGAGAAATACCCCAAACTCGGTAATCGAACCATCGATTATACCTCTGCCATTGAGTGTTACCGTCGCTCGGCGTATGCCCGAAACTGCGTAAGAAGATTCCGAGCGCCTGCTCAAAGTTTGGCCCGCGCTCACTGAAAGAGATTATCTGACGAGCGCTTGCAGAAGATTTTGTATAGCTGTCCGCTGGCAGTACACGAAAGTACCGCTTGCTGAAGTTCGCCCCCAGGCTCCAAAAATTTGCTTTTCGCTTGCAGAAAAGCGCGAGTTTGCGCACCGCCTGCTTTTTGCGATTATTGAATTGTTAGCTGCGATTAGAACAACTTTGGTGTCTCCCAATAAATTCAGCCTGATTTTCAGAAAATCCAGAAACTTTTTCTGAAAAGTCCACCGCTCTCTCATTCAAGTGCATCGTTCCCCCCCCCCCCCTCCACCCAGGACAAAAGTCACTTGCAATGCCGTTAAAGATAACATAATTTTAATGAAAAACGATTTATAGATTTAGAACAATTGGATTGAGGAGTCTTTGAAACTCAGCGAAAGTCAGAAAAGAAAGATTTCTTTTTTAATTGAGGCCGGCGGTTTTTCGGTGTTTTGTTTTTCTTGCAATTAACTTAAGGTCGTTGAACAGGGGTCTCTTTACCTTTGCCTTGTTAGGTGAGTCGAATTTTGACATCTTGCGTATACGTCGTATTTCACTTATTATATCCAGTGTACTGCGATTGCCATATTTAGGCCACCTTTGGAACGTCCATGCAGGTTGTTTGTCCGTCAAATTGTTATTTAGCTAAAACATTTTCTCGAAACTAAATTTACATAGAAAACTCACTCTCTACCTCTCTCGTTATATCATAAACATTAGAGAGGTTTGCGTAAGAGAAACTCGCGATGCCAGTTTTTTCTTCAAGCACTTTAAACATATCCGCATACTGTATGTTATAAACAGCAGCATGTTTTGCATCATCGGCGTCCACGATACTGTCATAATTTTTGCAATCAACATAGGTAGGTTTGAGTAGCTGTAAAAAAGAGTTTCAGACTACAAAGCACAAACTCCAGGTCGAGTTTAAAAATTTCTTTGGAGCTGTCTACTTACCAAATCTTTTTCGACAGGCGCCGGAGCATGTATAGGGACTGGTTGCCAAGGATTGCCATGTTGCCACTGGAAACTATCATTTTGCGCGGGGTAAAAACCGGAGGTGAAAGCTTGCGCTGAGGTAAGGGCTCGATCTGAGTCTGACGATTGGATATAAACCTAGATATAATATTTCATTTATTTCTATACTTTCAGTCGGTTGGTCAGCTCACCTGACTTGCCACATAGTGGGGTGCGATGAAGGATCCATATTTTGATCGAAAATACCTTCCAAGTTCATTCATCTGAGCGATGCCTATCTGAATTTCTCAAGTTTTTGATATCTCATAGTTTTCTAAGAAAGCAGATTCAAAACTAACATACATTAGTTAGCTGTTGCCAGCCTCGTGGCCATGCACTCTCGTTGTAGGGATCATTTGGGTAAGGATGTGACATAGGGGCCCGATCGCCATGCCTCCAAATAGCTTGCACAAATGCTAGTTCTTTCGTTGCCACTAGTGAGAACAGGCAGATGAAGCAAGTTATGAGTCGAAGATATTGAATTGACTTCGGTTCCATCCCAGACTGTAATTCGAGTTTTTTATGCGTGACAGAGTTAGACTGCTGTCGGAAATTAATTAAATCCAAGTAATGAAATGTTCGCCAATCAATAATCAATCGTTGTTTAGGATCAAATCAAGATCTTGGAAATTTAATTTAATTTCGGCGAAAGTTGAGAGGAGTTTTTGAAAAAGAAAACAAGGAGTTGATGTTCAAACCTTGCAGCTACAGAACCCCACTCGATGCTTTAGTAATAGATGTCTACTTGATCCTGTTTCCCTAGATTTGTTATAAAATCAAAGTATGAACAACTTGATTCTTCGACGTCAAAGAATGACTGGGGTAGAGGAACGAGCGCCTCAATTAGGCATCGCCTTCGCGGGCTGCTGGTCCTTTCGTCCTACTGTTGTGCATCGTGTTGGGGCCAGTGGTCCGTGGAAGCGGTGCCTAATTGAGGTGTTTGTTCCTCTACCCGAATGACTGCTTACCAGAGTTTCTAGGCAAAAAATAAAAAACCATTGTTTTTGCTTTCTCATTCATTCGCGAGATGTCTTGCGTTTCCTTGATACCAATGTTAGAAAGTATATTTGAGTATTCTGTCTATCCAATACTAAAAACTGTTTCGTAATAGAATGTTTCTAACAAATGAAAAGCAAGCAAAATTGATTGAGGTAAGCCCTTAACAGAAATTGTTGAACCGGTTAGGTAATGGAAGATACATTGAAACTGATCGCAAATCATAATGTGATGATGGGGTTATGCTGTTTCAAGTGACCCTTTTTTGTTTGCTTTTTTTGTCTCGAGTGCTCTCAGACAAAATCGTCCAAAATTACATAAGAGCACTTTCCTCCATGCAAGACATGCTGACTAGGCTTGAGCTGAACAGCAGCAGGAAGCGAGAATGCTAGAAGTAGAGAATTGAATGAAATAGGCTTTGGCTGAAGCGAATTCCCCATGCTTCGTACAATTTTGATATAACTACGTTCAATGAGACTCTCAGATTTCAAGACACAAAACTATGAAACTTAGTTTCGGTTACACTGATAGAAGTGGGTTTTGACAATATTAAAACAGGCAGTGAGCTAATGACAGCAAGTGATTCACTCTGTTGCTCGCCTCAAAAATAGTAATCATGTACTACTGTAAAATCTTGATAATATTAGGTTGTCTCATTAGTCTTTTCATATCGGGACCGGCCGACCTCGATTTTTTTCAAATTAGAGCTCAAACGACTTTTCGATAGCGAGGCACGCTCTACAAGATGACCTTAGAAAGATCGCAAAAGGTTAGGTACACGTAAATGTTTCCACCAAGATTTTAAAAATTTATCAGTTGCCCGAAAAGTCGAATTTCAGCCCAGACAAATTCTACGGACGCCTCTTGCTCAGGTATAGGCTCATCCCGCATCGGCCGTGGGTGTTCACAAGCTGAAGCTGCGCGCGCGCCGCATGCGGTGGAAACGATGCGCGAGCGTGATTGTTGAGCTGTCTTCAGACTTGTGACGCTTATGGGCTCACCTTGCTCTTCTCATGGCTGCGTTTTCCTTTATGCGACTACAATCGCTTGCGTGGGTTCATGTCTAACTGCCATTTATTCGCTTGCAATTTGACATGTTTCGTTAATTAGATGATACAATTCTCGTTGAAATGATACAATGCCGCCACGGTTTTGATTACTTGTAATGGTCCTGGAGCCCAAACAATGATAAGGCTTGCGTAACTAAATTCGCACTCGAGTTGTGATTTGCCGTTGTAGTATCTTTCGATCTGTCCTTTCGCCTGCTGTCTATAAATACATCGACTGTGTAAAACTTTGGTCGTGGTACACTCCATATCACATCGAGAGAGAGACAAATTTAATCTAGTAGAAAGGACATTGGAAGTTTCGTTGGTCACTATTCTAGCCATACATGAGCTTCCGCGCTCGAGCATGGTTTCCGCCGCCTGCAGAGCTCGTGAGTACCCGCGCAGCTTCAGCTCGTGAGTACCCGCGCAGCTTCAGCTCGTGAGTACACGCGACCGATGCGGGGTGACATCGCCTATATATAATCTTTATATCTGATTTTTACGTTTGCACTTGCTGGATTTTTCCATAGCTAAAGATTGAAAAAAGTAGGCCAAAATCACGAGAAACTCAGAAAACGCTCCCTCTTTCGTTGTTTTTGGCTTGTTAAGCTGTAGACAGGAATTCGTATTTCTTTATTGGACTAAGGTTTCGGCTATATCGCCTTCTTCAGTCTGAAGTTGTCGAATGCATAAGTAACCTACCCTATCAAAAACCGCCTCAAGACTCAGCAAGACGCCCAATGCGTTAGTAAAACAGGAACCAAAATGTACGCAACATTAAACCAACGCTTACCTGGACATTTAATATGACCTCAGGGCAAAGAAGGTGATTGCATGGTGGCGGGGGTAGTGTACCTTATCACTTGCCAGACATGCGGAGGCCATATATCGGCGAGATGGGGCGCCCTCTATGGGAAAGAACACCTAGATGGGCTCCCAAAATCGTACCCCTGCAACTACATTGGGCAACCATCGCAGACAGTTCCATGACGGCGCAGACATGCGTGTGTAGGTCGTGATCTGGGCGCACAAATCCGAAATCCTAGCACACAAGAATTTGGAGGCGTTTTGGATTGCCGCCAAATATCCAGACTTAAATCGAAAAGATGAGTGCATAAATATCACTAATGAGTTCGCGCCCTATCAGGGCCTTTGCGGCTTCTGTCAAGGAGACCAGGTCACTAAGTATATAATGAAGATAGAGCTCACGGGAAGTACTTTTGATGACCGTGGCCTTTTGATATGAGATGCATATCATCTGAAGCAGCTTTGAACGCTGATTTTAAATCTCCCTTTCGTTTCTGCGGAGCGTCCTTCTGAAGAAAGTTATTGAAGCCTGAAAATCCTATCTTGGGGGCGCTTTTTGAGTTTGAGAGCGGTGCTATGTGCGTCAGTGGAGCAGTCGTGTAATGGTTAGTAGTTGGCATTGAAGGCGAGAGGTCGGTAGTTCGAATCCGGTACAGAGCGAACCATCTTGCACTTTGAATGTGAGTGTAAAACCACCCTAATTCGTCTGCAGTCACTTACTGTAATACCCTTAGCAGCTGTGACCTAAGAAGAAAATTTTGTGGCAAACCGCTTGCTTATTGAGATTTGGTTTTCTCCGCAAAAAAATACGTACAGAGGTGAAGCGAAATTACAAAGTGGGCAAAATACAGATATTTCTCGCAACGGTAACAGCGTATGAAAACTCCGCGCAATTTTCATGCTCGCAAGTACCCATTAATTTAAAGGCAGGAGAGAACATCTTCTCGAATAATGATAGTGCGCATTCCTTGAGCTCTATATGGTGGCGAACATGCTTCACCATGTTCATTCCTGTTTGACTGGTAATGAAGTCAGGTAGATTTCAGGGCCTCATTACAAGCAATGCCAGAAAATTTTTTCCTTAGGTCACATTTGCCAAGGATATTACGGTAAGTGACTACATACGACTTAGAGTGCTTTTTAAATTCATTCAAAGGAAAGTGGTTCGCTCTGCACTGGATTCGAACCACCGACCTTTTGCCTTCAATGCCAACTACTAACCACTACACCACTGCACCACGACGAACGTAGTACTGCTCTCAAACTCAAAGAGCGCCCCAAGATAGGATTTTTAGGCTTCCATAACTCTTTTCAGAAGGGCGCTCCGCAGAAACGGAAGGGAGATTTACAATCAGCGTCCAAAGCTGCTTCAGATGATGTGCATCTCATATCAAAAGGCCACAGCCTTTGATAGTACCTCTCTCGTCAGTTAGGTTATAGTGATCTGCAACACCACTTTGTCGGCATCTACCTAGGTAAACACTGGTTTAAGCTTGCATGCACTTCTGAATTCCTATTTTACTATCGCATAGGGGTCTTTCTGAGTCTCAAGAAAATTTTTAATAGAATACTTATGCATTCGAAAATCAGTCTCTAGCAAGGCGATATAGCTGAACGCAGTCGAATAAAGAAATATATTTGACTGTATGACATTGCCCGGGCTGAACGCCCGCGCGCGTGTCTCTTGCGGGCTAACATTGGCATTTGCGCGCATGTGTCAGCATGGCGCCCGCACTCGGCAGCCGCGTTGCAGGCACGGTCGCGTGCGTTCAGCCTACAGCCACCCGAGCAATTTCGTGCATTCGACATTCTTAATCCCGGTCTACAGCTCAACAAGACACAAACAAGCAACTCCATTATGCCGTGATAGTGTCAGTCGAATCAGGACAATGCTCTCTTTTCGCGGTTTTTTATGCTAAATTCGTTTATAACATACACACAGAGATCTACTATAGATCTGACTGTGTAGGAATAGCCCAGCGTAACTTTTACGAAAACATGCAGAATTTAGAATAGTAAAAATTTGGAAGAAGATTCAATTTTTCAATTTTTTTGGGCAGTTCGAACTTTCTACATTTCGGATTCGAACTTTGTGTAGATCGCAGTTGACAGTGTTTGAACGTCATATTGTAGAGATTGCTTTGCTTTATCGAAATGTACTCGATTACCATGAGAGATTTACAAAAAAATCTCTTATGGCAGTAAAGAAATCAAATATGAAAAGACTTATGGGGCAGCCTTATATTTAGCAAAGCACTTTTAGGTGCATCGAAAATAAAAACAAATAAAATAAAGTAAACCTAATATGATATAACATAATCAGATATGTCTGCCTACAAGTAAGTCCGCACATAGCTCAAATTTTCAACCATAAATTATGTGGTCTGCATAAATGCAAAGATGTGTTTTCTATACTAGACATACTCCTTTAAATAAACTTAAAAAGGTACACAAAACATACACGAAAGTGAAGATGCGTCAATGTTTGCAGAATGCTCAGTCAGAAAACAACTTCAAAAAATTGTACAAAGTGAATTAATTGGCTAACAATTTGCAAATCATGAAAAAAAACTGAAAAAGCCTTCTATTGGAATCTGTGCCATTATGTGAACTCCATTTTAATTTTTGCGCATTAGAGAACCAAAA